GTTTTGTGGCAAGCTCTCATCAGTCAAAAAACTAGGCACTCCTTCTACGTCGTCGAGCCGAGAAGGGGTTAGTGTTCGTATAGCTCGACTTAGTATTAAAGATCCCGCCACGTCGACCGTTTTTCTCATTGATACGGGTGCGGACATATCAGTTTTACCGAAGTCGTTCTGTCGTTGGAAGCAAAGGGCTAACAGTGTTGCATCAGTTAATTTATATGCCGCTAATGGTACGCCTATTCAAACATTTGGCGAGCGTCGACTGCTTTTGTCTTTGGGTTTGCGTAGAGATTTCCCGTGGACGTTCGTGATTGCGGATGTTAGCTGTCCTATTGTTGGAGCCGACTTCCTTAATCACTATGACTTGTTAGTGGATTTGAAAAGGAAGCGGTTAGTTGATTCGAAGACGACTTTGATGATGAAGGGTAAGGCTGCTGTGTCTCAAGAAGATACTGTTCGTGTGTGTGGTTCAGTTTCAGCTTATGCTGAGCTGGTTAATGAATACCGTGATTTAGGCGTTATGAGTGCAAATCGGATGGGTTTAGTTACTAAGGTTGAACATTGCATCGAGACATTTGGTGCGCCGTCATTTGCTCGTCCCCGACGTTTAGTTGGAGCCAAACTTGAAGAAGCCAAGAAGGAATTCCAATTTTTAGTCCAGACAGGGATTTGTCAACCTTCGAAAAGCTGTTGGGCAAGTCCACTTCACATGGTTCGCAAAGGCGATGGAAGTTGGAGACCGTGTGGCGATTATCGCATGCTCAACGCGCAAACTAAACCTGATCGGTATCCGATTCCGTTCATTCATGATGTGACGAGTATTCTTCATGGTAAAACTATGTTTTCGAAGATAGATTTGCAGAAAGCGTATCATCAGATACCGCTTGCACTGGCAGACATTCCGAAGACAGCTATTACAACTCCGTTTGGCCTGTTCGAGTTTCGCTTTATGACTTTCGGTCTCCGTAATGCTGCCCAGACGTTTCAGCGTTTTATGAATGAGACTCTAGGTGATCTTAATTTCGTTTTTGCGTACATCGACGATATTTTAATTGCGTCAAAAGATGAAGCAGAACACAGAATGCATTTGCGACTGGTTTTAGATCGACTTAGAGAAACTGGTTTGACCGTGAATTTTGCCAAGTGTAAGTTCGGCTGTTCCGAGATCGAGTTCCTTGGGCACGTTATTAGTGCAAAGGGTTTACGTCCTCCGGAGAGTAAAGTTCAAGCTGTTCGTGATTTTCCTCTGCCAGCAACGGTGAAACAGCTTAGACAATTCTTAGGCATGGTGAACTTTTATCGGCCGTTTCTGCGTAACGCTGTGCAGAATCAGCAGCGGTTGTTTCATCTTACACCAGGTAACCGCAAGAATGATAAGTCGGTGATTTCTTGGACTCCAGAAGATATAGAGGTTTTTGAGGCTTGCAAGAAGGATCTTGCCCAAGCTACGTTGCTTAACTTCATGGCTCTGGATGCACAATTGACGCTCACGACTGATGCTTCAGACGTTGCGGTGGGTGCTGTTCTCCAACAAGTAGTGAAAGGTGTGACTCAGCCATTGGCATTTTATTCAAAAGGTTTGAGTCCAGCGCAGACTAAGTATAGTGCTTATGATCGTGAGTTGACTGCTATCTATCAAGCTGTCCAGCATTTTAAGTATGCATTAGAGGGACGTGATTTCGTCATTTTTACGGATCACAAACCTTTAACGTTTGCGTTCAGGCAAATAAGTGAGAAGGCATCTCCTCGTCGTGCAAGACAGCTGGAGTTTATTAGTCAGTATTGCACTGATATTCGTCATCTGGCTGGTGCAGATAATACGGTGGCTGACTCTTTGTCTCGGGTTGCTACGGTTCAGTTGGAGGCAAATGTTATTGAGTTAATTGCTGAGGGGCAGAAGACTGATGCAGAGTTGCTCGCTCAGCTGAAGAGCCAGTCTGAAGATGGTGTTGGGTTGAAGAAGTTGAGATTGCCGGATTCGAGTATTGAACTGTACTGTGATGTGTCAGGCAGTCGTGTTCGTCCTTTTGTTCCCGCAAACTGTCGGCAGCTGGTACTCTCAAAACTCCACGGTTTGGCTCATCCTGGTATTCGAGCAACGCGGAAATTGGTGCAGGCTAGGTATGTTTGGCTTGGTTTGGTTAAGGATGTAGCTGTGTTTGTGCGTAGTTGCATTGCGTGTCAGAAGTCCAAGATTCAGCGGCATACTAAAACACCAATTGGTTCGTTTGCTGATATTGATAGTCGGTTCCAGCATGTTCATGTTGACATTGTGGGTCCATTGCCTTTGTCTCAGGGGAAGCGTTATTGTTTGACTTGCGTCGATCGTTTTTCTCGGTGGCCTGTTGCTGTGCCTCTGTCGGGCATTACGGCAGAAGAAGTTGCAGCGGCTTTTATCGACGGTTGGGGGGCAAGTTTTGGTTCTCCGCAGGCTATTACCACTGATTTGGGTCGGCAGTTTGAGTCTGCTGTATTTCGGGAACTGACGAGATTGCTTGGAGTGAAACACTTTCATACCACGGCTTATCATCCTCAAGCAAATGGTATGGTTGAACGTTTCCATAGAACATTGAAGGCAGCCATTCGATGTCATTCCTCAAGTAATTGGACGCAGTCTCTTCCGCTTGTGTTGTTGGGATTGCGAACGACACCGAAATTAGACCTAAATGCTAGTCCTTCAGAGATGTTGTTTGGAAATCCTCTTTGTGTTCCAGGGCAGATGCTTTCGGATTTCAAGCAGAAGTCGTCCGAGACTGATTTTGTGTCGGCGTTGCGAAGGGCTTTAGCTAAGGTTAAATCCGTTGAATCAACAAGACATTGTCATCCATCTGTGTATGTTCCGCGTGACGTTATTAATTGTAAGCACGTTTTTTTCGAGTGGATCGTGCTCGAGCTCCACTTGAGCAGCCTTACGAAGGTCCATTTGAGGTGCTGAGTCGTAGTGAGAAGACGTCTGTTATTGTTTGCCGTGGAAGAGAGGTGACTGTTTCGAATGATAGGTTGAAGGCGGCGTACTTAACGTGTGATGATCTTGAACAGGTTGTTCCAGAAACGCGTCAGCCTTCAGCGCTGTTGAATGGTGATCAGTTAGTGACTTCTGGTGATTGTAGGCGTGAATCCCTGTTGCCGATTCCGAAAGTGACACGAGCTGGTAGAGTAGTGCGTTTCCCAGCAAGGTTAGCGGAATTTCGGGATTAAGAGTGGTGTTGTCGACTTAGTTGTGGTGTCGCGTTGTTGCTAGTACTCCATCGCTAGGAGGGGGTACTGTGGCGACCCAGTTGGCTGTGCATTTATTGAATTTAAAAAGTAAAATTCAATTTCAAATATTTTTAAGTTTTTTGTTTTTGATTGAGGAGAACGTTCCGATTTTTCTCTCTGTAAAAAGTTGAATAAAAGTTTATTAACATTGAAAATTTTTAGAGTTTTATTAATTAGCAAGGTGAACAGATCATTGCTAAAGTTTCAAGTGATGAATCTAAATGTTTAACGAGAGTGATTATGGACAATGGAAGTCATATGTTACCGAATATTTGGCAAAGCTGCTACAATTACCGGTTGTAGGTATTGACAACACACGAATTATTTCGTTTGGCCAAAGTAGCCACAATAGAAAAGTTAAGCAAATAAAACGCGTAATATTAAAAGTGCAAAGCCAATATTCCGAAGAAATTAAAGAAATTTATGCTTCAGTTGTGCAAAATATATGTGCTGATGTTATACCAGTTCCTGGTGACATATATGATAAAATTAAAAACATGGCTGAAAATGTAGTCACAAATGTAAAACAATTGACTGGTATTAATTTATTAATTGGCCAAGACAATTATTGGCAATTTAACTCTGATAATTGTGAATATATTACTGAGAATTTGGTTGCAGTTGAAACATTTTTCGGTTGGACAATTCAAGGCTGTTCAGATAATCAAACTCAAACGAAATATGTATTGAATGTTATCGAAGATACAAACGATTTTGACGTTTCTAAATTTTGGGATTTAGAATCCGTTGGGATTAAATCATACCCCGAATGTACAAAACCTCTTAAAAAAGCAAATTTAGCGAAAATTAATGGACGTTATACTGTAAGCCTACCATGGAAATATGATAAGGATATCTACCTTCATAATAATAAAAATAATGCTCTAAATCGACTCAAAACTCTTAGTTCTAAATTATTTAAAGATCATAATAAACTAATTGAATACGACACTGGAATGCGCGAACTAATTAAGTCTGGAATAGCAGAGGAAGTACCAGATGGCCATAGTAATGAGAGAACATATTACATGCCGCATCGTCCAGTGTACAGAGAAGATAAAATTACAACAAAAATGCGCATTGTGTTCGACGCCTCTTCAAGTAACCCAGGAATGGCATCACTTAATGATATGCTTGATTCAGGTGAGAAGTTATTGGCAGATTTAACTTCGATATTGCTAAGATTTCGTTGTCACAAAATTGCAATGAGTGCAGATATAGAAAAAGCATTTTTACAAATTTCATTAAATCAGAATGATAGAGATAGTCATCGTTTCCTCTGGTATAAAAATTTAAGAGATGATAACAAACCAGCGGAAATTGTAACTTATCGAATGGCAAGGGTAACTTTTGGTGTAACATCTAGTCCTTTCTTGTTAGCGTCGACAATGCAGCAACATCTGCAAGGCAATGTTGAGCAATATGGTTTAATATGTGACAAACTAAAAAACTCATTTTACGTAGACGACTTAATAATTAGTATAACAACTGTTCAAGAAGCTGAATATTTATACCTCATTGCAACGAAAATAATGAAAATAGGAGGTTTTAATTTGCGGAAGTGGACCTCCAACTGCGAAGACTTATGACGAAAATTTGAAGAAAATAATGAAGAGCAGCATCCGATACAAAAGGTGCTTGGCGTTTTATGGAACATTTACGAAGATAATTTATTTATAAATTTAGATCACTGTATAGAGATTTCTCGGAATTTAAGACCCACTAAACGCAATGTATTAAAGATTATGACTGGAGTTTATGATCCCTTAGGATTTTTAGGTCCGTTTACTGTACAAATCAAAACATTATTGCAGAGGATATGGAAAGAAAATTTAGACTGGGACTCTACCTTACCTGAAAGCTTAGCAGATGATTTTAATAAATGGTGTGATGATTTACATAATTTAAAATATTTTACTATTAGTCGATGCCTGGTAAGATCCAATTTGTCAACAATTCAACTACATGTATTTGCAGATGCGAGCCCGATTGCATACGGAGCTGTTGCATACCTACGAGAAATTTTGTCTATTGGCAAATTATTTACAAGCTTTATATGTTCTAAAAACAGAGTAAGTCCTATTAAAAATAAAAATAAAAGCGAACTCACTTTACCAAAGTTAGAGCTAACAGCCGCGCTTATTGCAGCCAAATTAGCAAATGTTTTAAAGCTTGAGTTAAACATAAATTTTTCTTCTATTAACATGTGGACAGATTCAAGTATAGCTCTGCAATGGATAACTGGAGACGGTAAACAAGTAAAACAAAATATCAGCTCAAAAGTAAGTGAAATTAACAAACTAACAAATGTATATGACTGGCGTCATTGTGATGGCAAATGTAATCCAGCAGATCTGTTAACTCGTGGTATAAAAGCCAAACAATTGATGCAGTCAGAATTACGGAAATGGGGTCCATCATGGCTTATCATGGAAAGCAACGAATGGAATATAAGCAAAATTGAGGATAGTGCAACTCTTATCACAAAAGTACTTCAAGAAGAGAATGTTTGCAATATATCTAAGGAAACTAAATTTGATATACAAAAGTTTAGTAATTTACGGAAAATGTTAAGAGTTACCGCATACGTATTTCGATTTTTAAGGAATATAAAAAATAAAGGAATTCAGCAATCTATCAACACTGAATTGGAGAAGATTGATGATTTGACTCTAGAGGAATTAAATAAAGCGGAAGTTTATTGGATTGGTTGCGCACAAAGTGAGTATTTTTTGTCAGAAATAATATCGTTGAAGAAAGGACAAAAAATTGGAGCGGAATCAAAAATTTTACAATTGAATCCCGTTTTAATAGATGGGTTACTGCGACTTTCTTGTCGTTTACCAACGACTGAGTATGAAAATCTAAGCAATCCAATTATATTACCAAAGAAGTCATATTTATCTAAGTTGATTGTTTTGGAAGCGCACCAAAAGTTTATGCACAGTGGAATTAATGCCACCTTAGCTAAGATTCGAAAGCGATTTTGGGTTGTTAAAGGCCGGCAACATATTAAAAGCGTTGTACAGCGGTGTATAATTTGCAAAAGGCTGCATGGGAAAAATGCATCTGAAAACTGGACGGATTTACCTATCGAACGGGTCACTGTATCCAAACCATTTGAAACCACTGGCATAGACTTTGCTGGTCCATTGTATATAACTTCTACTGACAACAAAAATGATTTTAAAAAAGCGTATATAATGTTGTTTACCTGTGCAGCAACTAGAGGAATCCATTTGGAGCTGGTAGCAGATTTAACTGTTGAAAGCTGTATAAACGCACTAAGAAAATTTATTGCAAGGCGTGGCACCCCCTCTATTAATATATCAGACAATGCGAAAACTTTTAAAAGAAGTTGTATGGAAGTGCAAAAGCTTGAACAACTAATGGAGAAAACCACACGGTCGAAAATTTTCGTTTAAATTTAAAACTCAGAGGGTTTTTATATTTATCCAAACTAAAATGAGTTTATGATTTAAACCGTTCAGTTTAAAAAGAAGTACATAACACTGATTATGTACATCTTCTAAACCCTGAGGTTGATTTTCAAAACTAATAGGTTTATTTTTAAAACTTATTCGGCTTAAATTTTAAACCGAAAATCTAAAATTCGACACACTCTTTAAGCTCTAAGGTTTAAAATTAAAACATATCGGTTTTTATTTTTAAACTCAAAAGTTTATACTAAAAACTTCAGAGTATAAACTTTAAACCCTTTACTCTTAATTTTAAACTGAAGGTTTATTCTTATATTAACCCTTTAAATGAAATAGGAGCAATAAAATATATTTTGTTTAAAAAAATATTTTATTTATCGTTTATTCAATTTATAAAATTATATTTCATTTATAAAAAATAATGGAAGTGGCTAAGACCAGATACCTTCAAGAAAGCAGTCTTGTATCCCTTTTGATGCGAAGACTGTTAGCACTTTTTTTTCTACTTCTTGCCAAGCTTTTGTACGCTGAGTGGTGATTTGTGGAAACTGAATACAGAAATCAAGTAAAATCTGAAAGTGAGTTCATATAAGAATTTCATTTCATATTTTCAAATTTACTTTACTAACCAGTTCGGGATTCAAAAAGTAGAATGGAAATATATTTCTTATATTGACTTTTTGCTCTAATAATTTCTTTCTATGCTGTGTGGTGCTGCTTCTAACACACAGTTCTTCTGAATCTTCTATTTCATACTTCTTTCTTTTGAAATTACGATTTTTAAGTTGACTCTGAAGGTAACCTGTATTATTATCAGGATCGAAAAAAATTTTCCAATGGGAAAAAATGAAGTGAATTCAAATAAAAGGAAGTTTTCAAAAAGCAAATTTCTTTTGCATTATTTTGTATACTTACTGCTCCACAATACTTTGAATTGGTTCGCAAAAATGGGATAAGCTCCGTTGTAATTTAATATATTTAAATATATTTTCTTTAACGAAAAACACTTTGAGATATCTCCCGCACGGCTCTATACTACATGCGCACTTACCAAACGATCACGAACAATTGATGCATTTTGCATTTGCGCATTTCTTCATTTCACAACTGTATAACTGTGGCGACAATATGGTGCCGCAATAAAAATTCGAGGAAAAAAACCTTTCAGTTTTAATTTAAATTTGAATAGGTTTATAATCACAACTATTGGGTTGAAAACTGAAACTTTTCGGCTTAAATAAATTATATACGTATATTTTTGCTGTTTTTAAACTCTGGGGTCTGAAAACTCAACCTTGATGGTTTCAAAATAAAACTTGCGGTTTATGTTATCAACTCACGCAGTTTATTTTCTGCGATTTAAACTTTAAAGTTGAAGCATTCAACTTCTAAAGTTTATTTTCTTATATATTACCAATTATAAACTTCAGTAGGTTTAAAAAGCCAACCTCAGAGTTTGAAAATATTGATGTAAACTCTAAAAAAGTTTACAGGGTTGAGAATTTAAACTAAAATGTTCGACCGTGCAGAATCAACCAATTTGCTGTAGCCAATGGCATTAAGTGGAAGTTTATTCCAGAACGTGCAGCGTGGTGGGGTGGATTTTGGGAGCGGCTTGTACGAACTGTAAAAAACTGTTTAAAGGCAGCAATTGGGAAAGCAAGGCTGACTTTTTATGAAATGGATACTTTACTAACAGAAGTAGAAAGTGTAGTAAATCAAAGACCACTCACCTATATTACTACTGACGGTAACGATTTGGCGCCGTTAACACCTGTACATTTTTTGGGAGAATGTGGTGTGTTAAGCAAAGAAAATTTCTTGTCTGACGGCAGCACTTTAGCAAAAATGTGGCAATCACGAACTTATATTTTAAAGCGTTACTTAAAACGATGGCAGGACGAATACTTAACTCAATTACGCTCAATTCATCTTAATAAGTCTAAACCAACAAAATCTATAAATATTGGCGATGTAGTATTGGTCAAAGATGAACATCAATCAAGACTTCTTTGGCGAATGGAAGTGGTGGTAGCTACTTACATTGGACGAGATGGGCGTGCCAGAGCGTGCGATGTCAGACTCAAAGACCAGAAAATTATGAGAAGACCTATTCAACTACTATATCCGCTTGAATTAATATGCGATTCGCCGGGTCCCAGGATGTAAAAAATATCCCTTAATATCATAAATATCTCTTATCTCTTATCATGAATTAATATTTTAATCTCTTTTTTTTTAACTTTATACTTACTATTGAATTATTCTTTTTTGTTAAAAACAGTAATAAATGCACACTCGCAGCATACAGTTGTATTTTATTTCATGTAAAGACTATATTTTCTAAACCCATATTTAACAAAATTAAACTTTCATGCCAAAACCAAACACAATATTGAACATCATATTGAAACAACTCCTGGAACACCAGCGTTTTGCAAACCACGTCGTCTATCTCCAGAAAAATTGTAGATTTATAAAGTACTTCCAATAGTAGTTGGTGAAGTATAATTCACATATTTAACAAAGCTAATGGTAAATGGAGAGTCTGTGGTGGTTATCACAATCTTAATGCTACAACGATTCCCGACAGATATGTAGTGCCACACATTCATGATTTTGGATCTTTTCTTGATGGCAAAACAATATTTAGTAAATTAGATATAACCAAGGCATATCATCACATTCCCGAAGCTAATGAAGATATAAAAAAAACTGCTGTCACAACACCATTCGGAAATTTTGAATTCACAAGAATGGCATTTGGGTTATGCAATGTTGCACCTACCTTCCAAAGAAATATGAATCAATTAATGCAAGGTTTGCAATACGTTTATGTCTACATCGATGACATATTTATTGCATCAGGATACACATGTTTTATTTGGTGAAGATAGTTGAATTAAATTGCATTAATTTGATAATTTAATTGATTTAATAATTTAATTAAATAGTTTTTATAACATTTATAACTATATTGGAAGAATAATAAATATTGGTAAAATATATAGAGGAAAATTGCCAAGATTACAATAGAGGATATAATATGGTAAAATTGAGGTATTCTTGTTATTAAGGTGAGCAGTTGTGAAATATCAATAAATCTAATACATATGAAATGCAGATGCTTGGTGGTGCTATATATTTATGTGGTTTGTCTTTGTGTTCTTAAAGTCAATAAGTTTGGAAATATAAACAGAATATATGATAACAATAATATATTTAATGATATTAATGGTGTTGGATGACATATATTAAAATTAATGTAGAAGTTTTATATAATAACTGAGTCTTATGATAAAGTGGTTTAATTATATTTTATGGAAGTTATACATTTGTTTGAGTGTTAAAGATAGTGTGTGGATAAAGTATAAGTATAATAATAACAATCATAATATCTAATCATAACAATAATTGATATAAAAAAAGAAAGGCAGAAGGAATATGGAGAAATTTACAATTATTGGAGTATAGATAATAACAAATTATTGTAAATTATTATTATATATTGTATATAAAATATTTATTGCATCAAAAAATGTAACTGAACATATTTAGCACTTTAAAGAAGTACTGCAGCGTTTACGCAACTTTGGTTTAACTATTAATAGTGAAAAATGTTCATTTGCGGTTGTTGAAGTCGAATTTTTAGAATACTAGGTATCCTCCAATGGCATTCAACCACTTCATGCTAGAGTTACTGCCATATTGGACTATCAATTATCAAAAACAGTACTTGATTTAAAAATGTTTTTGGGTATGTTGAATTTCTATAGACAATTCATTCCAAAAGCGGTAGAACCTCAAGCAATATTGCACAGCATACCAACAGGGAATGTGAAAATTGATAAAACAGTCATCGCATGGACTGAGGAACAGCAGCAGGTATTTAATGCATTCTGTGCTATCCAAAACATACCTCATTGACAGTTGATGTATAAGATTCTACGCTGGGAGCTGTACTGCAACAAAAAATTGACGGCGAGTGGAAACCGTTTTTTATTTTTCGAAAAAACGAACGAACACACAAATGAAATACAGTGCATACGATAGGGAATTATTAGCGATTTATGCAGCAGTAAAACACTTCTTATATTTTTTAGAAGGTCGGCAGTTTACTATTTTTATTGACCATACATTTTTGTTTGCTTTCAAACAAAAACCGCAAAAGGCGTCACCGAGACAGTTAAGACATCTGGATTTCATTTCGCAGTATACTACGAATATCTAGCATATAAGTTAACAACGCAAACATTTAAGACCTTTAAATTCGCCAGTAGTCAGCAAATAGATCACTTTTTAAATAAATGTTATTATAGCCATTTTATTATACTAATTGTAAAATATTAATAATAAAATATAATAATAAATATATGTAATCGACTTTTAGACACTGCGTCAGCATAAGATCATATGTCTATACCCATTTTATTATACTAATTGTAAAATATTAATAATAAAATATAATAATAAATATATGTAATCGACTTTTAGACACTGCGTCAGCATAAGATCATATGTCTATACCCATTTTATTATACTAATTGTAAAATATTAATAATAAAATATAATAATAAATATATGTAATCGACTTTTAGACATTACGTCAGCATAAGATCATATGTCTTTTTTTGCATTCTTATGCTGAAGTAAGTGCCGTACTAAATAATCAATAAATCAAAAAACAGTTTTATTAAAGCGCTTCATTAGGAGCTAAACTAAATTTGTGTTTAATTTTTGTATAAAGTCTTTATAGAAGAAATAAAAATTGAATAAAATAACAATTGTACAAGGACAATTGTTAACTTATACAAGGGAAGAATAATATCATTGCAAAAACGCTATCTAGAGTAACAGCCATAGCCGCACCAACACCTATCAACTAAAAACAACTATATCAAGAACAACAAGCAGACGAAAACAACAAGAGAATTGCGAAAACTTTTTGAACTCTGCCGATACTGACCTTAAATTAAAATTAATTAAATTGCCGGATAATGATTGTGCTTTATATTGTGACATCACTTTTTCATTTAAAAAAACGGTGTTTGATGCTGTACACGCATTATCACATCCTGGTGTAAGGGCAAAAATCTATTTAATTAAGCAGCGCTATATTTGGCCGACATTAAAAAAGAACGTAGCAATGTGGACTAAACACTGTTTGGAATGTCAACGGACTAAGGTGACTCGTTATACAGAAAGTCCAATTAATACCTTTCAACCTCCAGCTCAACGATTTAGCAACGTTCACATGGATATATGTTAGTAGATCCGCTACCAGAATTTCAAGATTACAGATATGTTTTCACCTGTATTGATAGATTTTCAAGATGACCAGAAGTAATACCTATTATAGACATAACAGCGGAATCAATCGCAAATGCTTTTATGCAAACGTGGATTTCAAGGTTTGGAGTGCCGAACCAAGTAGTCTCTGATCAGGGTAGACGTTTGAATAACAACTATTTCGCGAATTAACAAAACGCTTGGGTATAAAAATGATTCATACTACAGCATATCATCCGCAATCGAATGGTCTAATTGAAAGATGGCATAGAACATTTAAAGCCGCTCTAAAATGTCACAAAAAGAAGAACTGGGTGGAAGCACTACCGTTGGTATTATTAGGACTGAGATGTAAGATTCTACAAAATGAGAACGTTTCAATTGCAAAAATGGTTTACGGTTCTACAATCAAACTTCCTGGTGATTTATTCGAAACGCATAGTAAGATACCTCCTACAACTGAATGGATGCATAATGTCAGAAATAACATGAATAATCTACAACCAGCTGTTACAACTCACAATTCAAACCAAAAGGAGTTTATCCATTCAGAACTCAATAAATGTTCATTTGTTAGATGTGATGCCGTAAAAAAACCACAGCAAAATCCTTATAACGGACCGTGTAAAGACTGGAAAGTGCAAAAACGATAGTTCGCTCTATAACTTCACTAGGGACGGAGTACTATAATGGATACATACGCTTAACAAGTTAGAACATATGAATAGTTGAAACATGAACTGCAGAGCATATATAAATAGTTTAGTTAGTTTAGAAAATATGTTTCAGTATTTGAATTCGAACACGAAAGGTTCGTCTTAAAATTTAAGCGCAAGCAAACAGCTACAGTACAGTGTAATAAAAAAAAATAAGATTAAATTCAAATTCTCGGAAGAAACATTCAAAAATAATTTAAAAAATAAGAATTGCAACTGCAACTGAAGTGTAGTGTATACCTGAAAAGTGTTTATGAAGAGAAAAATCGCCAGAGACGATAAAAATTAAATCCTAAAATTTCAGGCAAGTGTCGTGTATACCTGCATACAAGAAAATAATTAAAAAAAAATCGAAAGTGACGATAATAAAAATAATAAAAGAAAAAAGGTGTCTTAAAAAAAAGAAAAATTGGTTACCTTAATTAACCAACCGTGATAAAAAAAAAGTGTTGTGCATACCTGATAAATAGGTATTAAAAGAAAAAAAAAAAAATCAAATCAAAATTAATTTAACAAATAAATAAAAAACAAGAAATAAATTAACAAATAAAATAAGAAAAGAGACGTTTTCTAGGACACAAAAACATACAATTACTAAAAGTAAGTTACAATAATTCAATATATTACTCACCAAATTTTATCCTTATTTACAACTATTTATATTGTTATTTTTTATTACTACGTTATTACTTTATAATATTATTATTTATTTTCAATTATATATAATTATCAACATTCTCAGTATTAAATATTAAAAACTCCATTATTAAATAAATTCTCAATGGACTCAGCTTTACAGTCATTAAATGAACAAATTATAAGTTGTCGACCATGGTCGATATCTTACAGAAGGACTTAGCGGCCGAAAGGGCCGCAAAGCAGGAGATGGAAAAACTCTATTTTTCCGAGAGGGCCACTCTTAACAAAACTATCCAAGCCCTCACAGAAAAACTTAATAATCTGAATACCTCCCCAAAAAAGTCCAATAAACGGACTAAATTGAACTCTCCATCGCCTTCCCCATCGCGTAAAACAAACAGTCCTTCACCTTCCAAATCTAATAGACGGGATACACCATCACCCACAAGATCGGATAGTACAGAAACTTTATCAGAGTCTGATGAACAAATGTCGTCTGACTCAGACCGGGAATACAACGAAGAATTCCCAGAAATGACTGTGGTTGTGTCTAAACGACAAAAAAAAATTCAAAAGAAAAGGCTCAAGGATACATCCACAAACGAGCAAAGGACACCTCAGGAGGAGAATGCAGAAGACACGATTCAGGCTCCAGTATCCCATCAGGAGCCCAAAACAGTTAAACCAGTCCCTGTCATTCTAAGGGAACCTAGCCAGTGGAATGCCATTCGCAGAGCAATGGAAAACCGCGGGATTAAAATGACATCCGCTAAAAGAGTGCACCTGGGTATACAAATCTATCCAGAAACTGTTAATGACCACAGACAACTAACCCGGTATTTGACGGAAACGAAAGTCCAATACCACACCTATTTCCTCCCGGAGGAAAAACAATTAAATATAGTAATTCGTGGTCTCAAAGGCCTGACACCAGAAGAAATAAAGGAGGATTTAGAAGCACAAGGCTTCCACCCCGAGGAATGCTATTTTATGAAGATTGGAGCCACTACCTCCAATCTTCTAAAAGTCCGTCTCCCTAAAGAGGAGAAACATATTTTTAATATAACAAGTTTATGTTACCTAAAAGTAACAATTGAAGCACAGAGACCCAAAAAGGGTCAAATCCAATGCCATAACTGCCAGCAATTCGGACATGCCGCCATTAATTGCAAAGCAACTGCCAGATGTGTGAAATGCACAGGAAAACATCATACAAAAGACTGCAAACGACCAAAAGAGCAAAAGCCAAAATGTACTAACTGTGGTGGAGAACACCCAGCTAGTTATGGAGGCTGCCCTAAAAATCCTAAAAACTCTAGCTGGATAAAAACCAACCCAACCCAAAGCACACAAAGACCAAGTGCTCAAATGGGTACAAAAAAATCTTACGCGGAAGCTACAAACACCAGCACAAATAATCTTAAACCTACCCCTCAAGTTCCAAGTATGGAAATGTTCTTTGTCAAAATGCAAGAACAAATGAACTCTATGATGCAGAACATGATGCAAACCATGTTCAGCACAATGATGGCGACTAACAAAATCCATAATGGAAAGTAGAAGCCATATTAAAATCCTGACATGGAATGCGAATTCCATTCTAAACAAGAAAGGAGAATTCAGACATCTCCTCAGAGAATATCAAATAGACGTGGCACTTCTCCAGGAGACGTTTCTTAAACCCTCAATGGATTGGAGGATTCTGAACTACACAATATACAGAAGGGATAGGACACAAAACCGAGGGGGTGGCACCGCAATAGTCATCAAAAACGAAATCCCCCATCACCTTACAACAATAGAATTAGAAGCACTAGAAACAACTTCAATTAAAGTCAAATGCAACAATATGGATTTTGCACTATCTTCAGTTTACAGACCTCCCAGAGCAAAGGAGTTCATAGAAGACTTTCATGCCCTGCTAGAACAAGATAATGCAACTTTTCTAGCAGGAGACATAAACGCACACCACCAATCATGGGGAGACTTCAGCTCGAATCAGGCAGGAAGGAAACTAGATGCATACATGTTGAACAACAATATTCAACTACATGTACCAGAAGAACCAACACATTTTGGACAGCATGGAAGGGGACACACCATCGATATAGGAGCCTCAAGAAACTTTGACTACAATATACATATTGAAGTTTTAGACGAAATGTCATTAGATCACAAACCTGTTGTGTTCACAATCGAGAACTGTTTCATTGACATACCCATGCCAATGAAGACAATAACGGACTGGAGAAAGTTCAAAGAACTATTAGAAGGGGAACAATTCAACACGAATACAGAAGATATAGAAGAGAGCATCAGCCTCTTAAATGAAAAGATTATAACAACTAAAAACAGCAGCTCAAGGACCCAACAAATCAAAGCACGTAACTACTTTGATTTACCCAGGACAATAAAAGAATTAATCACCAGGAGAAACAGGATACGCAAACGAGCGCAAAGAACGGGAGATCCAGCAACAAGAATGGAAGGCAACAGACTCACAAATATAATAAGGAAAAAAATTAGTGAGTTCCAGAACGAAAAATGGGAGGATTTTATGGACACTTTAGAAATAGGTGACAAACCTTTTTGGGGTCTCAATAAATACTTTCGATTTAAGAATAAAATGAACATACCACCAATACACGGAGAAGAAGGGATAAAATTCAGCACAGAAGACAAAGCAGAAGCATTTGCAAGCTCACTCCAGCTGCAATTCATGCAGAACACGGACCCTGACGATGATGTGGAACGGGAAGAAGAGATCGAAAGAAAAGCTAAAGAGATTCTAGCCCGAGAATGTGTTAATAACATAAGACCAACTGATCCAGGAGAGATACTTCAGATTATAAGTTATCTCAAAACAAAGAAAGCTCCAGGAATAGACGGCATCAATAACAAATGCCTAAAGAATCTACCAGATACAGTAATAGGAAGGATCACAACTATAATAAATACTGTACTTCAACAAGGACATTTTCCAAAGACGTGGAAAAAATCATCAATTATTGTGCTACCAAAACCGGGGAAAAATCTAATTTTTCCACAAAATTGGAGACCAATAAGTTTGTTGCCAGCTATAGGAAAAATAGCGGAAAGAATAATTCTCTCCAGACTGAAAGACACAGTCGAAGAGAAAGAACTAATTCCTCCAAAGCAATACGGATTTATGGAAAATCACTCAACGGAACTTCAACTAGCAAGAATGTCACAAAATATCCTAACAGCACTGATCAAACGGAAATCAACAGGGATAGTGATGTTCGACATAGAAAAAGCATTTGACAAAGTCTGGCATGCCGGATTAATAGTCAAAATGCAAAGACAAGAAATCCCATTGGATTTAATTAAGATCATCGGAAGTTTCCTTCAAAATAGGAAATTCACAGTAAGGTTGGATAATCACTTCTCATCAACAAAGAATATAGAGGCAGGAGTCCCTCAAGGATCACCCCTATCACCAATACTGTATAATCTATATACAGCGGATATTCCCAAAGCACAGAGAAACAAATTATCTCTTTACGCCGATGATACATGCATTATGTATTCCAGCAAAAAGGAGACACAGATCACAAGAAATCTGCAAGGATACATAGAGGAACTGGAAAAATACTTCAAAAAATGGAAAATCAAAATAAACGTCGAAAAAACACAAGCGATTTTCATAACAAGGAAGAAGTTTCAAAATCCACAAAAACTAAGGGTTAACAACAGGGAAATAGAATGGAAAGAAAAAGTAAGATATCTAGGAATTTTACTTGACAAAAAATTTACTTGGAAACCTCACATACGTGAAAAAAGAATGATTTGCAGCGGACTGCTAAAATCACTACAACCAATGATGAGGAAAAAACTAAACATCAAAAACAAGATGTTAATCTACAAGCAGATAATAAGACCCAACCTCTTATACGGATGCGTGGCGTACGGAAAAGCAGCAAAAACTAACATAGCCCAGCTACAAATAGCACAAAATCTGGCACTAAGACGTATACTCAATATCCCTTCATACATCAGGAACACGGACATACATAAGGATCTGAAAATAGAAACCGTAAAGAAATACATCAAGGACAAAGCATTGAAACTATTTCAGAAGGTGGACAATCACAGAAATCCAACTTTAAAGATGTTAACGCCCAGAGGATATCACCGAACAAAGGGCAGGTACGCCGACCTAAGAAGTCTAATACTTTAAGGACAATTTAAAGTATTAAAAATGAAGACAACAGATTGACCCAGTGAACATAACTAAGATGTTCACAAAAAAAAAGGGAGTAAAGGTACCAACAGAC